TCAGGGTTGGGGGTGAGGTGGGGAGTTTTGGGATAATGAATGCCTTTGTTACAGAAGCGAGACTTTTAAATATGTTAAGTTATATTAATATATATTACGATTCTTAATGAGAAGCTAGAATGCTGGACTAATTACCAAAAGTCACCATGGATTTGAAAGATAACTAAATAGAACAGCTAGAAATGAGAAATCATTGAAATCAGATCTCACCAAACAAATTACAGAGTAGACATGCTACAATTGACTTAATTCAGCAGAAGCGTTGAAGAAATATACCTGATGAAACACAGAAGCAAAGAAGTGAAAAATGAACAACGTAACAGGGACCAGGCATATAGCTCAGTGGTAGAACATAAGACTTAGACGTTTGAGGCCCAAGGGTTTTTACCTGGAATTGAAATCTAATATGTGATGTACAAGAGAAAGTAATACATGTGATGACCAAAATAAGACATCATAATAATTAATCAGAGGTTCAGAAAGAGGGACAAGAGATTGAGGGAAGGTAAAGAGAAAAGATTCTTTTTAGTATTTATTAAAGATCCCAATCTTCAGGTTGAAGAAATTCAATGAATCTCAAGTAGGGTTAATAAAAAGAAAATTCTTTTCTTTCTGACACTTCTTAGACAAACGGAATAAGAACAAACACCAAAAAAGATACTGAGAATAGTAAGAGAAAAAAGACAGACACCTAGAAAGTATCAAAGTAATAGCTTACTTTCCAAGTAACAGGAAAACATTTTTAAAAGCTAGAATTATATATCTTTAAAATGCTAAAAGAAAAGGAAATTCAGAAGTACAGGAAACAGGAAATGCTGTGAAGTACATGCAACAACCATCCAGTAGGTCTTACGGATGCCAATCAGATCTGGAAGGATAATATGGAACCCACCATAAGATTCATGTTCATTGATATCAAGATGATAGATTATACAAACTCAAACATTTGATTTATACTTTCACCTAGGGTAGATCAGTCTTCATGGACATCCTGAGATTTTGTTTCAGACATTCTGAGCAAGTTGGAGAAATAAGCCACATATAAAGCTTTGCTTTCAGGAGAACAAGTATCTGACAGCTTAAAAGGTAGAACAGAATATATCCCAGAGAGGCAAAAAAGTATAGTCAAAGTGACATCTGCAATTGTCTGTTTATTGCAGCACTCTTTACAATAGCCAGAATCTGGAAAAAAACCTGAGTGCCCGAGAACAGATGACTGGTTAAAGAAACTTTGGTACATTTACACAATGGAGTACTATGTAGCTGTTAGAAAAGAGGAAGTCACGAAATTTACATACAAGTGGTACTACATGGAAAGTATCATGTTATGCAAAATGACTCAGAAAGAAAGGGATAGACATAGATTGCATTCATCTGGGGAACATAAAGTAACAAAATAGGAAACTAACACCCAAGAGTGGCTGAGATTAGTACCAGGAATTTTACTCCATAACTTGGAGGCCAACCACACATACTAGGGGAAAAGGGAGCTCAGATAAAGAGGGGAACACCAAATAAAGGTGTTGGGAGGACCCTCCCAGGATGGGAGAAGCATGCTGAAAGTAGACTATAGACCAAACATGATTGCCACTCAATGTTTCTTTTGCAAACCACAACACCCAAAAGGAGAGAACAGAGGGGAATGCCCTGCCACAGTGGAAGGGTGGGGTGGGGGGGTGGGGGGTGGGAGAGATACTGGGATCCGTGGTGGTGGGAAATGGGCACTGGTGGAGGGGTGGGTACTTGATCATTGTATAATTGAAACCCAAGCACAAAAATGTGCAAGCCTCCAACTGTACCTCATGATGTCTCACTATTAAAAAAATTTCTAATAATAAAAAAAAAAGGTAGAACAAAGAAATCTTGAGTGAGCCAGTTTCAGTGGGCAGTTCACCAGGCCCACAGAGCTTGCTTAACCTTGGCACTGGTCAAGCTAGGTTGGAACTCATGCTTTCCACCCATTCCAGTCTGTTCTTAAAGGGACCAGAGATTAAAAGCCAAGGCACAAAGCTCTTAGCAAGAACTTTACAACCAATCAAAGGGAAAGGAAGTAGATTTAAAAAAAAAAAACTTTTAACTCGAGTATCCACTTCTTATTTTATAACTAAGTACTTTTATTATAGGTTTTTTTGTTTCGGTTGTTTTTGTGTTGTTTGGGTTTAGGGCCACACGTGGCAATGTTTAGAACTTCTGGTTTTGCATTTAGGGGTCACTCCTGATGTGGCTTCGGGGACCATATATGGTGCTTGTGATTGAACCCACAACAATTGTGTATTCGGCAAACACCTTACCCACTGTACCATTTCTCTGGTCCAAAATTATTTCTGTAGTTCTAATGTGCGTGTGCGTGTGTGTGTGTGTTGTGTGTGTGTGCATGTGCGTGCATGTGCCGTGCATGCCACACTCAGCTCTGCTCAGTGTTAACTATGGCTCTGTGCTTGGGACATGCGGGGGAGGGGTGGAAGATGTCACTCGACCATATGCAGTGCCAGAGATTCAGTGCCAGGATTAAATCTGACTTAGTACTTACTATTTTTCAGATAGCATGCTGGTTGTTGGGGGTATGGGTGGACCCCAATACAATCATCTTTGGAATGCCTAGGATGTTATTTCTGAGCTCTAGGGGGAAATATTTGGAGACCAGTAATGGAAATGCCTTTTACATTTGGTGCTTCTCTTAATGACATATATAATCTCTGTTAGGTAGTAGCTAGGACAATAGCAAACACACTTAAAATGTTAGATCCCTTTCCTGGTGCTAAGAGGTCACATCAAGAAACAGGGTGACTATGTATTTCAAGACCAAGGAGATGGAGGGTAGAAAAGTTATAGGAAGAAAGTCTCTTCAAAGACACATAAAGGTAGAGATTTTTATGCACCTAAAACCCTACTGGGCCTGAGAGTAAGACCTCCCTGATTTTCCTTGGTTTTTGAACTTGTTAGTTTTGCCTACCTTGAATCAAGACAGAGATGAGAGATGAGAAAAAGAATGAAGACTAATGGTACCCTCGAGTTGTTTAAGCCAAGTCATATCTTTACATAGATATAGGAAGTTCAGATGAAAAGCCAGATTTGGGGGACTAACTCCCAAAGGGCAAGAGTGCATGCAAAAGGCTAGGGTTTGATTCCAGGAATCAATGGTTCCCTGGGAATGAACCCTGGGAATAGCCTTGTCAGATATGGTCCAACACCACAAATAGAAAAGAAAACAAACCAGGTTTACTAGCTCTATATTAACAATATTTTTAAGTTTCTCCTTCCTTAATCTAGACATATCTTGCCCAAGCCAAGGACAGAAGCAATTTTCTCATTTTCATCTCATGTATCAGTTCAGGTGGTCATCATTCAAGGGTCAAGGAGGTTGTGGTGGTGTAGACAGACAGGGATCTAGGGAAAAAAGGCTGGAATGATGGAGGATCTGGAAACCTCCTCCCACTCAGGAAAGTCTGATAAATTTTCCTAGAAAAGGTTTTCCAGCCTACTGGCAGCACAGTCAGAATCTAGGAGGGATGTAGGGAGGGTACTTCAGTTATAGATCACATAGCTGATGACCTGGTCTGTGTCCCCAAACAAACCAGTCACCCCCAAATACATCAGGGGTGGCCCTCATAGAAGCAATGGCAGCAAACAGGGCAACATATCTACATGGGATGGAGAGATGTGGGTAGTGTCCAAGTGACATTTCTTGTGAAATATGGCTGCTGTGTTCAGAAGTGATTTCTGGTGGAGGGAGCTATTTCTTTTTCTCCCAAAAAGGAGCAATGTGTCTTGACAATCACCAGGTGTACTGTTTCCAGGTTCGAGGTCTGACAGTTTGGCTTCATAATTCTTTGCATTTCTGAGATACTTTCATGGAGAGAGAATAAAGTCGTTGAAATTCTACAGCCCTGTTGAACCAGAGGCATGTAACTCCCGTGTGGTTTGCGGAGGAAGGGGTGTTGAATAGCTGGATGGAATATCTTTGGGAGTTGGGGTCAGCGTCATTAGTTTCAGTCAAAGCCCTAACTAGTAACAGCAACTTCTTTCTTGCCTTGGTAGCAAAGTAAAGGGAGGTACAAGTTTATTCTTAACTTTCCCATTCTTTTCCATGTGATTTTGTAATTCCATGTGTTGTGTTGGGACCAGGAATTAGAAAAATAAAGTGATGACTTAGTGCCCAGGAGCAGAGAGGATTGACTAGGTGATAGAACACAGAGAACCAGAGAACAGGAAGGTAGAAGTCGTCCATCTCTGCTTCTAGTATCTGGCACTGTGTTTGTTCTGAGTCTCTCCCTATAGTCACTGGGGCCCTGGAGTTCAGAGCTCATCAGTGACACAGGTGCGGGCCAAGCCCCCAGTACCAACCCTGCATCTGCCTTGCCTCCAGGCCCTTCCAGACAGGCATTTTATTTTAATATTTGGCTGCCAAGATTTCTGGGCCTCCTTGCAAATCCTTAAAGAAAGGACCTTTTCCTAGCCACTTTAACTGATTACACAGTATTATCAAGGCCGTATAATTTAATCGTTTTTCCAGGCACTTGAGTAACTGGGGGGCAATTCCTTGACTTATATTCTGCAGGATGGAGCTCCCAAGAAGACTCCATATTCTTTCAGCTCACTGGTGAGACTCCTCAGTCTTTCCCTCTAGCTTTGTTCTAGGCAGTTTCTAAGTGCAAATGGCAAATACATACGTGTGTATATAGAAACTTTTCCCATGTCCTTGATGTAACCCCACACCTTTCTCTGTCATGACACTTGTCACATCCTATTGAAATGATCTGTTTACACAGTTGCCTCTCCCTTCATTTCCTCTCTGGTGCTATTTCTGTAATAGGATGTTAAATTTAAAGTTTTATCTGAGGTTCCAAGATACAATAGTTACTGTGTGCCTGGGAAGATGCCTTTTCACTTTGTGTAGTATACACAGGGGTCTTTGACACCCTTTCAGCATTCTTACCCACCACCACCAGTAAAATGATATAAAAAGGCTCAGAGTGGTGAGAGATTTGTATTTTTTTTTTGTCATTTTGGAAGTCCTTTATTGTAAAGATCATTCTTTTGTCTGATGACAAACAGCAGTCATATTCTGAGTGATTATTCTGGACCTCCACGTTGGATAAATTCCATTTCTTCTTGAGAAACAAGTTTCCTTCTGTACTTCTGAGGTAATGTTTTGATCATTTCTGCAGCATCTGGTGGGCCCTGGTGCATCAGCCAATCTGGTGCTTTACTTCCCTTAGAATGCTGTGACATTGAAGAAGAGTGAGAAGGTAGCCCTGCTGATCCCAAAGCTTCAGACACATTGGGTTTAGGATAGTCTCTTCTGTCAAAAAACCTTATTAATGGAGTATGTGGCTTGACTACCTGAACGACCCTGCTGGCAGATGCCATCTTGCTACCCATCATAACCCCCGAGAAGCTGTTGTTATTTCTTTGGAGAAAAAAAAGTTGTTTGCTTGTGTGTGTGTGTATGTGATAGAGAGAGAAACAGAAACAAAGGCAGAGACAGAGACAGAGGAGACAGACAGAGACAGAGAACAGAGAGAGACAGAGAGAACACCATTGTATTTGGAGGTCACTGCTCTGCTATGAAGTAAGGAATATGTGGGTATCCCAGCAGGATGGACACCCAAGATATCCTGGTGTCATGCTAGAATCTCATCTATGGAAATATATGGGGAGGAGACAAGAGCCCTGAGAGTCATGTATCCGGTGACCTCAGCACTCGGGACTGAGGGACAGCAGCCACTAAAAGAAGACACTCTTCATGCATTTCCCATTTCCCTGATGGAATTCAGAGGGAGAGTAAATGAAATTCTACACTGATTCTAACTTACTAGTCCTTTTAGATCAATATAAAGGTCACTTTTAATCCCTTCAGTGTGATGCACAATTCCTGGCTCATCGTTCACAAGAGTTCTCTTGGCAGCAAGATGGCGTCTGCCAGCAGGGTCGTTCAGGTAGTCAAGCCACATAAATACTGATAAATATCTGATAAATACTGTTGCGAGTTGATCTGGTTTGGGCACACATTTTTTTACTCAACCAAAATTTGTCCATGAAGCAGCCCAGCTGAATGGCAGCCCATATTTTAATTTCAGGGCTATGTCTCTTCGAATGACACTTTGGGGCAGATTTTACGTGAACAACTAAAGTTAGCAACTACTTACAAATACATAGTTATTAGACATAAATAGATTTAAATAATCTCTTAGTTATTGTATATAAATAGTATCTAGTTCCAGAGACATGACCTTATTTGTAACTTATAGATTACCTAAATACCTTGCAGTTTTTTTCTACAATGTCACAAAGAAATATCAATATATGTTTAACTGAAAACAATAAATATCAAGGAAAACATTCAAAGGGTTACATGTGTAATGCACAGAAAGAACTTTGAAAACATAATCCTCTTTAAATGTTTATTTTTAGCCACTAAATTGAGCCTGTCCCTCTTTTTTCTTTTTGGGTCTCACCCTGTGATGCACAGAGGCTACTCCTGACTCTGCACTCAGGAATTACTCCTGTGGTGCTCGAGGGACCATATGGAATGCTGAGAATCGAACCCAGGTCGGCTGCATGCAAGGCAAACGCCCTACCTGCTGTGCTATCGCTCCAGCCCCCGAGTCAGTCCTTCTTTTAAATTTTCTCCAAATTATCTGTAGTCCACTTTTTGGCTTCCCTCAGAACCTCGAATCAAAATTCTCTCATCAGCAAATCAACTCTTATGTCTCCTTTCTCTTACACCCTTCATGTCATCTCTGCACAGATTATTCCACTTGACTAGTTATTACAAGTTGGAGGGTGGGGAGAATTTGCAAAAAACACCCAGATTGGAGCCTCCAGCTTGACCTCTGTCAAATTAGCAGGCCCAGCTCCATGTCTGCTGAACTGTGTGGTCATATTCATGGCCATGTGGCAGTTCTATCAAATCTCACACTGCTCGTAGTTACGCTTCTATTACTGAGTGAAGAAGGGCAGTGAAGGAAAAGAGCTACTACCAGCCTAGTCAGCTTCAAGGGGCCTAACCACAGAGATTCACATTTAGCACACAGTAGGAGCACAGAAGATCCAAGCAAATCCAACTGGGGACCATGCATAAAAGTCCAGGCAATGATGAAAGGACAGTATTAGTTTCAGGGAAGCCCAGGGGGGCATCACTAAGGACTCCCAGAAATGGACACTTCCCAGTGGGACACTTTCAGGTCATGCTAAGAAGCTGCCACCTGGGACTCACTTCTTCACAACTTTACCTTATGCTGGAGCGATAGCACAGTGGGTAGGGCGTTTGCCTTGCAAGCGGCCAACATGGCCGACCCAAGTTCGATTCCTCTGCCCGTCTCAGAGAGCCCGGCAAGCTACTGAGAGTATCTCGCCAGCACGGCAAAGCCTGGCAAGCTACCCGTGATGTATTCGATATGCCAAACACAGTAACAAGTGTCACAATGGAGACGTTACTGGGCCCACTCAAGCAAATCAATGAACAATGGGAGGACAGTGACAGTGACATCTACCTTATGAGTATAAAACTAGAAAACTAGCAGGATCCTTCAGCAGGCATTGTTAGAGTCTTCGGTTTTGCATACTTTCTGCACCAAAAGATGAAGATTTACATCCAGATAGCATGCTTCTCAGAATGGATAAATAGTGTGCTACGGCCAATACTGGTGAGACTATAACTAGTTATTTGATAAATTTATCCAAGCATTTTTATTGATTGTTGATTTTGTGGGGGGTGGGATGGGGGAGTGGCCCACACCGAGCACTTCTGAAGGCTGCAGCTGCCTCTGTGCTTGTGACACAGATTTCTGCTCCAGGGTCACTTTATAAGGTGCACTGGACACCAGCAATTATGGAGATTGAATCAGGGTTGGCTGCAGGCAAGGAGAGAGCTGTAACCTACCCGGTGCTATCTCTCTCAACCTGATCTAGTAAGTTGTCAATGAGAAGGTGTCAACTTAGAAATGAGAAAATAACCAGTTTTATTTTTAAAAGTTTTGGTTATGTTCAAGAGGTCTCAGTCTGCTAGTCTTCAACAGTTTAAGCATAGAAATTTAGGGAGATCTAGTTAAGGAAAAAAAGTCTGGACTTCAAAGTAGCTAGGTACTTAACAGCTCTGTAAAAACATTATACATCGTGGTTTTTAGAGTTTTAACTCAAAAGGTTTTTATTTTTATTTCTTTAAAGGGGGGTGTTAGGCCGCAACTGGTGATGACCAGGGGACCATATGTAGTGCTGGAGATTAAGTTGAGGACTACGTGCAAGGCAAACACCTTAATCCCTACAGTATCTCTCTGACTACTACTAAAACTTTTCAAGAAAGACAGAGGGACACGGCATATTTAGATTTAGAAACTGAAGCCCCTGAGAAGCAGGGCTCCAGACTTGACACAGTGCAAACACTCAGTCCTTGGGCCTAAGGGGTTTGCCTCTTATAATCCACCCTCCCATCAACCCAGGCACCTACTTTTCCAGCACTCCAAATACTTCATCTTAGCATTGAAAGGACAAACTGGCAGGCTACCGAATGTAACCTGCCCACATGGCAGAGTCTGGCAAACTCCCCGTGGCGTACCCAATATGCCAAATACCAGTAACAATGATGGGTCTCATTCTCCTAACCCTGAAAGAGCCTTGAATATGGCACTTTTTAAAAATCTCAGGGCTAGGACGATGGAAACGTTACTGGGGCCTGCTTGAGGCAATCGACGAACAACGGGATGGTCGTGATCGTGATCGTGAGCATTGAAAGGAAAATATGTATTTTTCCTAAGCTAGGGAAAAAACAGATTTTGGTATTTTTTTTATTTGGTATTTTGTGTCATTGAGACTGTTTTCTATTTCCATGGCCTAGGAAACAAGGGGAACCAGAGATTTGCACGAAACCAATGAGCTCTGGGAGAAAAACATTTCCCAGAGGAAAATCAGGTAGCCTGGACCTCACATGTCATATCCCACTCACAGCAATACAGCCCCATCCTTCCTCTGCTGCCTTAAAGTCATTCTCAGAAGTTATTTTATCTTATTTGCTGATTTGCACTTCTTTCAATCTTCTTCCCAAACATCCCTCTTCATGTTTCTCTCTTACTCCTACCAGAATTTGCTGCCCAAATGGGAGGAGGGGACTTACCTGAGCAGTTGTCAAGAGGCTGACTTCACCTCGTGACCTCATGCACTCTCCAGCCACCACCACTCTGGTCTCAGCTTTCCCTTCCTCTGCCTCCTCCCATCCTCACTCCATGCCTAGACTTCTTCCATTACCTCCAATGTACTCCCCTTCTCCTTATTTTGCTAATTCCAACTCTTATTGCTCCTGGAAAGTCTTTCTAACTACACACCTCCATTAGAAATGACACTGCATGTTGACACTGGTCTGTGATAGCACTTAATGCCTCAAGTTATGAACTGTGAGGCACTGTCTCCCCTCTATTCTGTACCTTGCATGACAGTGAGTCCTTTGTGTTTGGGACCAAGTCATTAGGGTCTGTGAGAGAGATGTGGTAAATATCCAGTAGCATCTCCTCTGTGAATTCAGAGTGTATCCAGACCTTATGGTAGTGAACAGGACTCCAGAGAAGAGGCTGTGATGATGAGCATGTGGGTTTGTGGGGAGCCCACAGAAGACTCATTCTAGAACTAATGTATTTTGTGGGCTGAGAGATCCAAAATGCCAGACTCTCTCCCTCACAGAGACAGGCCCTCAGAAGCTAAACTCAAAGAGAGTCAATAATGTACAGCCATGGCGTTGGCTGCTCCTGCCCTTGTTTCTTCCAGATCACATTCTTTGTTGCTTTTAAAAAGTTATATCCCAATGGGCAAGGACACTTCTTAGTCATCATTCGAGATCTTTGTACCTTTGAGCCTCAAGGCAGTTCTAGAAAGTCCATTTATTATTTTAGACACTTAATCAGAGATGCTAAATGACTTGGTATAGGATCTTAGGCAGTATGTTTGGAGAGAGGCCTCAAACCTGATTCTTTTTCCACCCATTGTATATCTGAAGAGTGGTAATGTTTCTGGCTTTCCTTTTCTACTGTTCTTAAGGCTCTCTCAGTATTAGTTATTAAAATTGCTTGAGAGCTGGGAGATGGCTCAAAGAACTTAAGGGCATACTCTAAGTGCTGGAGCTCAGGTTTTCATCCCCAGGGATTGCTAGAAGCAAATCCTTAGCCCCTCTCTGGGGAGATGACCAAGAATCTCTCTGGGAGGTGTGCCCCAAGACGAATAGTGACCAAGACATAGTAAATGGGTAAAGTCACTTCCTTGCACACTCCTGACCTGGATTCAGTCACGGACACCCTATGTGTTCCCCTTAGCCCTGCCAGGAGAGATCCCTGAGCATAGAGTCAGGAGGAAGACTTGTGCACTGTTGGGTGTATCCCAACCTTCACAAAATGATAAATGAGTAAA